CCGCTCACCCGGCCCCGAGGGCGGCCTCCGGCGGCTCAGCCTCGGCCGCGGCCCCCGCGCCGCCTGCATCCGCCCAAGCGCGCCCGGCGCAAGTTGGGCCCCAGACCACGCCCGCCACACGCGGTGCCAGAACCCCGCCCACAGGGGGACCCGCCTCCCGCTTTGGGGACACCGTGTCAGGTGTCCTGACTCCAGCCTTTGGGGAAACTGAGGCCGGGGTTTATTCCTCCTATGCAGAGGTGGACGCGGGTGGGGGAGCCCCATCTTCCAGCTGAGGGGGAGGGTGGTGGGACAGGCCCGAGCCCGCTGTGTCGCCTCATTAATCCCCTGTGTCGGGCTCACCCGGCCCTGCTGGCCCCAGCTGCGCTGCACAGCTCCGTGCCTCGGTTTCCAGCTCTGTAGATGGGGCTGTCCTTCCCAGGAGGACTCCACGAGCAAGCAAAGCACCTAAAGCACTTAGGGTCGCCTTTGCCACTATATTTCCCTGCACATTTCCCTATACAGTTCCCTTAAATAAGAAAAGTAAAGCGACAGAGTGGACGTGAGTAACCAGGGCCTAGGAGAGGGGACGGGACCTTGGGGGCTGGGAAGCGGCTTCCCCGAAATCCCGTTTCCTGCCTGGGCCCCCAGCGCGCTGCCAAGCCCCTTCACAGTCCACCACTTGGTGGCAGCAGATGCCCAGGCACCCTCCTGCAACTGTGGGCTGTGTCCAGTACCCCAGGGCCCACCACCCCCACTCCCCTGCAGGCACGCTTGGTCCTTGGGGTGACCCCCACCTTCACTGGGACTGGGGTCTGCAGGGCACGGGTGGTAGCCAGCTCCTCTCCATGAGCCCCCTCACCTCCCTTGCCCCAGCAGCTCCTGCAGGACAACCCCCCCAACTGTGGCCCCTTCACCCCCTCCCCCACCACGCCCCGGGTCATGCACGCGCATTTTTTCCAGCACTCTAGCATGGGCCAGACCTTGAGCCAAGGTCTCTTGAGTGGCCCGCCATCCTACAAGGGGCCCCGGCCTGAAGGTTGGTGTCCAGGGTGGGGGGCAGGGCAGGGTGTGGACTGAGGGGGTCGTTTGTCCCCGGAGACCTCGAGAGTGTGAGGTTTATTCACCAAACATTGCCTGAGTGCCTACCTGTGCCGTGGAGACCCCTAGCAGGATGAGATGGCGTCTCCATCCCCAGAACCCACCCAAGTAAGCTCCACCAAGTAAGTGCTGCCCAGGCAGATCAGAATGGGCTGCTGTGGCCAAGGTGGCCTGGGGGCACCTAGAGGAGGCAACCTGAGACTGGGCCTGCTCTGAGGTGAGGGAAGCCCAGGTGGGGGTTGTTGGGGACCTGTAGCCCCACACCCCTTCTCGTGTGACCAGGCCTACGTGACAATCTGCTTGTGTCAGATGTCTGTGCTTACGGGATATCTGCCTCATAATCTGTTTGTGCCTGGAACGCTGTGCTCCTGGCTATGCAAGTCTACTCAAGAGTGACCTCTTATCTCCTTTCAAGTTTCTGCTTTCCTGTAAAGGTTGGGAGCTGTTTTACGTCAGGGACGTCTTGTCCTTGCTTTCTCTTAAGATCTTATCACATTCCTGCATTCCTGATTCTTTACAATATGCCTGCTTTTTCCTATATAAGATGTAACCTAAGAATCAATAAACAAGACTTGATCAGAATACTGTCTTGTCTCCCGTCTCTCGCGTCTCTTGCTTCCATCCCATTCCCACTCCCCCCTCCAGGATCTGCATTGAATATCCCGCAGGTCGGGACATTTTTGGTGCCCAAACGTGGGGCCTGAGATATGGGGGATCCCGTGAGGAAG